CAGTATTATCACATTTTGGCTTTTGTAGATAATGCTGCCGTGAACATTTATGGATTTGTTTTTGTAGACATATGATTTCATTTCATGATAGTAATTGTTGGATCATATGCTATGCTTAACCTTTTGGGGAATTTTTAAGACTATTTACTAGTGAATTTTAGGAGCTTCTTGAACTAGACTTGTTTAGTTACTGGTCTCTTATTGGGTGTGTAATTTTTTTCAATGTATATTTTATTGGATTTTTGTGCATTTCATCTTAATCATTATTAGACCCCTCCCCTATCTGTACCCTCCCATAGTCTCACACACACACACACACACACCACATTTCATGCATTCTGTCATATATGTTAAGGCCTCTTGAGTCAAGTTTGTGCCCCCAGATGTCCCTCAGTGTGAGTTCATCCACTGGAGCCTCATCAGCCTACCTAGTGTCACTCCCTTAAAGAAGACCAACTCTCTCTTACCTAACAGTGATCAGCCTAGTATTTCCTCAGCCAAAGTTGGGGCTTCTTGTTTTAATTTAGCTGTTTTCTTCTTGATAGGATTTTTTGCATAGCAAAAGTTATTTTAATTCTGATAAAACCTACCTTTCAGTGAATTGTGCTTTTGATGCCAAATCTAACCTTAGAATGTAGAGATTTTCTAATATAAAAATTTTATATTTAGGTTCACAATTCATTTTGAGTTAATTTTTGTGTATGATATATGCTGTGGTTGGGATATGCTTCCCCTCAAAGACTCATATGTAGGATCTTGGTTACCCATATGATAGAGAGGTGGTGAGTCATTTCAAAGTTAAGGTCCAGTGAGAAGTTATTAGTGATGACCCCATGCTTGCTCTGGCTTCTTGTATCACCATGTACTCTTTTCTCCCACTCTTACTTTTGTGGTCCAAACTCCATCCACCATGAGGTTCTCATCACAGCCAAGCAAATGCCAATACCATGCCACTGAACCTCTAGAGCAGTAAGATAAACAGCCCCCTTCTCTTTGTAAACGCCCGACCTTGATGTGTGGGTGACCACAGCTCCAGCTCTGGCTCCTGTTATTGAAGATCCAGTCTTTCCTCTCTTGAATTCCTTTTGTGCCCCTCTCTGACATTTGTTAGGCATATTGTATGTGCCTATTTCTGGGTTCACTGTTCTGCTACATCAAATTAGTGGATTGTCCCTCTAATAAGTTCTCGTATTGGTATAGATGGACATTTTACTGTTTTAGTTTTCAAAATTGTTTGATTCTAGTTTCTTTGTTTTTATAATTTCAGAATAATTTGTCCATATCTACCTAAAACACCTAAGACTTCAGTAAGAATTACATCAAATCTATTTCTTGATTTGTAGACAACTAATGTCTTTATTATTTTGAATTTACCAACCCATGACCATAAGGTATCTCCCCATTTCATGTCTTTAGGTTTTTCTTTCATCAGTATCTCCTTAACTGTAGTTTTGTAGTCAGTATAGAAGTTCTGTATATGTTTTTATGGACATACACCCATTTTATGTATACACAGAATTTTATTCAACCATAGGGAAAAATGAAATTATGAAATTTGCAAGAAAATGAATGGATCTGGGAATTATATTAATTGAGGTATCCTCGACTCAGAAAGATAATACCACATGATTGCTCATATATGTACATCTTAACTATATGTGTACATGTATGTGTGTATATGATATATGTATATATAGTCTTCATATGGGAATATGAGTATGTCATGAAAATAGAAAGGATTCATAAGAAGTGGATGGGGATGTAGCTCACTTGGTAGAGTGATTGCAAAAAGGGGCTGTGGTGGTTTGAATGAGAATGTCCCCCATAGGCTCCAAGTATTTGGACATTTTGTCCCTAGTTGGTGGTATTGTTTGGGGGAGGTTTTAGAAAGTATGGCCTTGCTGGAGGAAGCACCTTCATTGTGGGTGGGCTTTGAATGTTCTTAAGCCAAACAGGCATCTCTCTCTGCTTCCTGTGCCTGCTTCAAGATGTGAACACTCCACTCTGCTTTCTCTTCCTGCCTCCTCCTGCCACCACGCCTCCCCACCATGATGGATTCTTGCCCCTTTAGAATTCTGAGCTAAATAAACTCTTCCTTCTATAAGTGGCCTTGGTCATGGTGTCTTATTACAGCAACAGAAATGTAACTAATACAGAGGCTTTAAGGAAGGAGAGTTGGCTGGGTAATAGAACATGTGGCATAAGAGTGAGAGGGGAACTACTGGGAGCAAAAACTGTTGCAGCTCAGTCAAATGTGAAAGCCCAGGTGGCTTGAGAGCCATCTAGGTATCTGAAAGCAGTCCAGTTGGTACCTAGAATTAAAGATTACATGGGAGCAATTGCATTGTCTTTTTCAAACTGTGTATGTTTTATCTTATGCTTTGGCATTTGATAGAATTTCCAGCACTGTATTAAATAGGTGACTCTGGTGAGAGGGGAATCTTCCCTCATTCCACATCATACATCGAAAGGGATCAGGCTTTCTTTGTTGAGTATAAATTTCATCTATAGGTTTTAGTAGATATTCACAAGTTGGGGACATTCCCTTCTCATTTTCCTACAGTTTGAAAAAATTCATGTTTTCAAGTTAAATTTTATCAAGTAATTAATATGATCATGTGATATTGTCTTCTTTAGCTTATAAATATTTTGGATTAAAATGGCTTTTAAAATTGAATTAGACTTGCATCCATGAGGTAAACTACACTTGGTCATATTGTATACTTTTTTATTTATTTTTATTCATTAAAAAAATTTTTATGAGTGTTATGCCTGCATGTGTATAAGTACACCTTACTGTGCAATGCCTGCATAGGACAGAAGAGGGCATTGGACCCCCTGGAACTGGAGTTCTTTGATGATTGTTAGCCGCAATGTGGGTGTTGGGATTTGAACTCGGGTCTTCTGCAAGACCAGCCAGTGCTCTTAACTACTGAGCCATCTCTCCAACCCTGTATAATTCTTTTTATATATTGTTGAATTCTATTTGTTTGAATTTTATTAAGTATATTTAGCATATTTATGAGAGATCTTGATCTCTAGTTTTTTTTTTTTCCCTAAAGTTTTATAACCCTTTGTTTTGAAAAGCACCCATTAAAGAAACAATTTCAGCACAACTTCCTGGTCTTTTGACCTCAGTTACCTTGAGATGTACATGTTTGCTTTTTAAACTGTCCCCAAATCCTGAGTGTCCACAGTGGAATGACTGCCTAGCACAGCATGAGTGTTCACAAAGGGCTTGGTAGCTTTTACACTGTATTGCATTATTTTGACTCCTCATGGCTGTGCTGAACTGCTCTGTAATGCCCTGTGCCAGTCCCTGAAAAGACTTTGTGGTAAAAGGATATGGAGTTTTCAGATCAGAAGACCTCCATTTCAATCCTAGTTCCTGAATTTAGTAGCAGTGTTGTATTGAGCAATTACATTCTTTCTGAATAAATGAGATAAACATAAATGGTTTGCTACATAAACCTCTACTTTTATTTTCATTGAATATCTTAATTTTTAAGGAAAGGAATATACTAATGATTGTTACTGTCCAAATTGTTCTTTAATGTCTTTTTTCCTGTTTCTTTGATTATTTTTAGAATTATTGATTGTTCCCAAAGGAGAATGAGATATCAAAGGTTATATTTTGAGTTAATGATACAAAAAATGATCTTTGATTTTTTTAAAAATTTAAGCTGTTTCTATTTAGGAATGTGGTATTTTTCTTTCTATCTCCTTTTTTTTTTTTTTTTGTATTTTCCTGGTAGGTAGCTTTGATTAAATAATCCATGTTAAAATTTATCTTGTAAAGCCATCACTAAATATGCTTTAAAAAATTTTTAAATATGCTTTTATAAAGTGGTGACATCATTATTTTCCGTTCATCAGGGATTATTATTCTCTTCTTACTCCCCTCTCCTTGATCCCTTACCTCCTTTGTGCCTCCCCATCTCCCTCAACCCTCCACGCAACTCTGAACAAATGATGCTACTAAAATGGGGTGTTCTATTCTGCATGGATAGGTCTAGTTTGAGATTGTTCATGGTGGTGAATGATCTTTGTCTCTGGGTGTCTTTAACAAGCCTGGGGAATTATGTAAGATAGTACAACACCTTAGGAAAAAAGAAATTCTTCAATATTCATAGTGTTTCATTTATAAAACATTAGGATGGCTCCTGAACGGGCAAATATTAAAGTACCTCTTTAAAAAACTGGAATAGACATTTCCACATCTAGAGTGACTAGGATGAAATTTTTATATCCCACAATACAGAATATAATCATATAGTATGAAAACATGAATGAAAGTTGGTTTTCGTAGACATCCCTTTGCAATACCTGTTGCCAAGTTAGAAATAATATGGTAGATGCAATGACTCCAGAATACATCATCAAAGACAGGTGAGTGTGCAGGGGAAAGACATTTGTGTGAACTGACCCAATGGCAGCTTTTGCCTTACTGCTTTCAGCGGGATAGTTGTCTGATCACAGCCATAGTTCTTTTGTAGAGGGAAATGTTTGTTGTTTGTGAGGGGCAATGAATTTCTTAGGGCACAACTCTCTTTTGTCCTCACCTTTCTTGCCAACCCCAAGTTATGAACACACTAATATAGAAGAGAAGTAAGCCTTGACTTAGTCCTCCACTTTGCAGTATTTTTGGTTTTTGTTTTGTTTTGTTTTGTTTTGTTTTTGATTGCTGCATGATTAGGTCTAAATCAGCCTAGGTATCTGTAGCAAAAGTGTTGATGAAACAAATCAAATAAAAATGTAATTTACATCAGTGTCTTGTGTCTGTTTCTCTCAAATGTTGATGAAAACTGAGTATAGAATACACCCATCTCATATATCCATATAAATAAGTGAAGAAGACATGGAGGCTTTATTCATTTATCTGTGACTACTTTGTACTTTCGATGAATGTTGTATTTTAAGTGAGTAAAAAGCTGTAAAAGTTTTAGTCCATTTCTCTTTCATGTTTTAACATGGACTCTTGTAACTCTTGTTTGTTTCAGCTGGAGTCACAGCAGAAGCCATACAGACAATGACTACTGCTCCAGATGCCTCAGGACCTGAAGCCAAGGTCCAGGAAGAAGAACATGACCTCGTTGATGATGACATCACCACTGGTACGTTTGGCCACAGTAATGTAATTTGGATGGAGCTTTGATAAATATTGTAAAATGCTTTCTGCATCATGTATAGGGGCTGAATATTTTGAGGGGAAGACTGGAAACTTGTCTTGGAGGAGTAGTTTTATAAGATTCTGTAGTGTCCTTTTTGATCTTGAGGTGAAAACAAGTGGGACTGTTTATTTGGTCCAGGATCACACATTGTCACTATAACAATGAACCTGCCAACTCTGCACTTGATTTTCTGGAGATCTTTTAATTCCACAACTAGGATCATTACTAAAGCTTTGGAACATGAAGTGGAAGACACACACTCATTAGTCTGTGAAACGATATGCAATTACAAGGTTAAATTCAAGAATAATGAAGTTATATACGGTGTAGCTGCATAAGGAAGCTTACCCATAGTCTTTATACTGAAATTAAGGAAGTAAATTCTGTTTTTTGAATTTACTGTGTCAATATTGAACATTTTTACCTGTATTATATATCGCACAGCCAGATATAAGATAAATTTTATAATGCTCTCATATAATATGTTTAACCTATTTGGTTAATAACTTTTATTAGTTTTAATTACTGTATCTCCATATTCATTGTGTTCAATTTTGTTGAATGTACTGAGGATAAAAACAGCTTGTATAGTTTTATTGACATTGATAATGATTTCTTTGTGTTTGCAGATGGTTAAACGTTTAAATTTGACTAAAAGCTTTGTTATGAAGCATGAATATTAACTGCCAGCCTGGTCTACATAGTGAGTTCCAGGACAGCTGGGGCTACAGGGAGACCCTGTCTCAAAAAGACCAAAAACAAAACAAAACAAAAAAAAACCCAATAATTTTAAAGGAAACATGACCAGAAAATTATAGTAGCATTTTTGACCAAAAAAAAAATGGGAAAGAGGATTTTTTTTCTTTTGTTTTTTCAAAGCTCTGTGTGGCAAGTCTGTTACTGTTGCCATTGGAATGCTTTTCACTTTTTTCTGTTGTGAAGAGGTTGAGAAAACCCAGTGATTTCCTTAGCCACTTGGAAAGCTGTGTTTAAAACACAGTACCATTACCATTCTACAAGATCTGAAGTCCCTGGCCTGCGCAGGCACCTGAACACATTGGTACACGTAAACTCATGCAAGCACACACATACACAGAAATTAAAATAGTAAATCTTTAAAAGAAAAGCAACAGAAAACTGTACCTTAGGCCATGGCTTCAAGTAAGTTATGACTAGGTTGGGGAGCAACTCATTTTCAGATAAGGCGAGATGATAACAGATACTTGTTACTTTTTTTTTATCTTTTTGAAACAGGGTCTCCTTGTAGCTCCAGCTGTCCTAGAACTCTCTGTGTAGACCAAGCTGGCCTCAAACTCACAAAGATCTGCCTGCCTCTGCCTCCCACGTGCTGGGATTAAAAGCATGTGCCACCATGCCCGGCAATACTTGCTACTTTTTAATTCTGTTTAATATGTAATTTTCTAACCAAAGTATCATCTGAATTAAATGTGAACAATACCAGAAACCTCCAGTTTTCTGAAATCCACTGAGCATTTCAAAATTAATGGAATTTATTTAAATAGCTAGTGAAAGAAATCTTTGATTTGCAGATTTTTTTAAAAGTAGTTTTTTTGGCTCTTGTTTTTATTGCTTTTTTGCAGTGGTATAGATATGTTTTGTTGTTGACCTAATACCCTGTAAAGCTAAAGATCTTCTCATCTATAAAACATAGTTGTTTAATTTATTACAAAGGAGACTTTGCTTTTACATTAGTAGAACAGCTCAATGATCATTCTAATAAAAGCTCAATTTTTGAGCACTCAAGTAAAGATTATTAATAAATTAGTTGAAAATTTAAATTATGCACTACCAAATTCATATGACTGAATTATAGCTCATGACTGCTTTTATTTTATTGTTAAAAGAGCAAGAAGTTTAATGCAATTTTAATGTAAGTCTAGTTTGGAAAGTTAATTCATGCTGCTTACAATATATTTTGTTTAATTTGGCTAAATGTGTTTGACGAATGGCTTTTGCTAGTGGATTTATTTACTTCATGCCATGGGTACAAGAAGCAAGAGTGTGCAATATCCAAAGAATTTAAATGACTAAAAAAAAAATTCTTCCTTAACATGTTGTCAAAGCAACTCTGCTGTCCGTAGCTCGTTCAGGTTGCCGCTGGAGTGTGTGGCTTGATTAAGCTGTGCTATAGATTTTTGTGACGGTTCAGAAGAAAACCATATTTCTTTTTATTGAATAGAATCCTATATAAATTGTATTATGAAAAATATGGTAGATGCATCAAGAAAAGCCCACTTGGAGTACACTAATCTTATTTTGGGCTAAGCAGCATCTTAGAGTGCCAGAACCACCAGAGCAAGCCTGGCTGGCTCAGCCATTCCCTTTGAAAATTACTTTTTCAGCTATTTAAACAGAATCATATTGATAATACCTCTTCATAAAATAACTAGAAATTGTATCATGAGAAACATTTGCCGGTATTTTATATGAAGTGTCATTTGGTAGCAGCATTTAGGTTAATGTGGTTAGGTGTATTAATTTTACTTTAGCATCAAACTGGAACTTATTTTTAGAAATAATTTGACCAAGATGCCAACTAAAATATGAAATATAATTTCCTATTTTTCTAAAAGTATGATGATTGTCCTTAAAATGAGACTTTGGGGTGAGAATGAATGAGGTCTGAATGCTGTGTTAGGACGGTTGCACCTATACCGAGCAGCCTTTGTTACTGTTGGCCTTATAAAAGTAAAGGAGCATGGAGAGAGCCTCGTAAGTGTTGGCTCTGATCAATGAAACTAATTAAATTTATTTGAAATGAAGAGCCTTAACTGGAAGAGAACAGCTGGAAAAAGTGTGAGGAAAAAAATTGAGTCTTGATTGAGATGATTTAAACCTTCGCTATATCATTTAAAAAATATGCTGCAGCTTATTTCTGTATCTCGCTTTTTAAAGCTAATATCTATTGATCGGTGCTGCAGAATAATGTCAGTGTGTGTTGGTCAACACACATTCAGACTTGCTGAGCGCTGTCTTAAGGGTCATCAAATCCTTTTCCTTTAATCATGTCTTAAATTATATATCACATCTGTTTTGGTGAACTAATTTTTTATGTAGAAAAATATTAAACCTTATTTCACTTGTATTTTTTATCATATAGTATACCTAGTATACATGCTTTCTCAGTGGAATTGCCTCAGGTTTTGGAATAGTCTATATATTTAAAGTCTTTTTATCAATATTATCTGTAAAATAGGAACAATACTATTAAGATTATCTTTAGATTACCTACAATTCCTGAGTCAATAGCTTTTGCACATACACGTTTTATCATTATAAATTATGTAAATGCAATGTGTAATCAATTCTTGTAAGTAATGTTTTTATTTGCATTTTAGTTTTGTTTGACATAATTATATTGATAGAGTAAATCTCACTAAAGACTGATCTCCACAGAAAACATTTTAGATGAATCAGGATTAATTTTTAAGTATACATTCTGTGATAGTTAATTTTCATATATAGATTCCTTCATGGTGTTCTAATTAAGGTTGAAGTGATAGATCTTCTAAATGTTACATTTTAAAATCACTTTTTCCTAGTTCAAAGTCAAAAAGAAATTTAGAAGTGCTTTATTTACAAAGAAACATTTGTCTCTTTAAGGAAGTCACTGTATTTGAGGGTCATACTTCAGTGTCTTGCTTCTTGTTCAATGTAGCAATGACACGAAGTTACCATTTAACAGTGATAAAGGGTCAAAAGTCATGGACATTGTCAGGAAGGATGACTTGATACTAGATCAGTGACTAGATAGTTGGCAGATTCAGCTACTCAGAAGAAACATTGACATATGGATCTGAATGGGAATGCTGACTCTATTTTACTATTTTTTTTTATAAAATCAACTACATTTTAATTATCAATTCTGGGAAAAATATATATGTCTTTCCACTAGTGATTAGCACATATTCAGCATAGATGATTTGCTCTTGCTATGGGGTGTTGCCAAAACCTACTGTGCCTGTCTTCCTGCTCAGCTGCATTTTGTAAATAATATATTTTAAGTCTCATTCTTTGGTGGATGTATGTTTTACTAACTTCTAAGTTTGTGTTTCTGGGAAGCAATCCTATTTTATGGTAAATTAACATACAGACTTCTATAAATCAGCCTTTGTTTCTTCTCAAATTGTAGAATCAAGGTGCTTTTCTAGAGAGGACATTAGAGATTTTTATCTTCTTTTCTTTTTATAATCCATCATTCTTTATCACAGAACTTACAGGATTGATATCCAGTGTCACACAAAATGTTATCTGCTGTCTAAGGTAGAAGAATCTACACAGTATGATTTACCATAAAAAGATCTAGCAACGATTAAAGTATTATTACTATATAAGTTTTATTTTTAATAGTATTTGTCAGCCTCCTCAGCATTCATTCATTCATTCATTCATTCATTCATTCATTCATTCATTCAGTGTCTACTTTGTTAGTGTGCAGTGCTGATGTTGTTTAGGATATTTCATTGAACAAAACAGGCAGCAATACACTTTCTCATGGTCCATTTCAATGGGTGGGGAGGGTTGCAGATAATAAAAACAGTAAGTAAATATGCAGTGTGTTAGATGGGACATACTATATAGAAAGAAGAAAAAGTAGAGAGATAAAGGAAAAATTGAGGGTGACAAATCGATGTTTTATGTACCAAGCTTTTTAAATCTGACTGAGAATCATTTCAAAGTAGATACTAGCTTTGTTCTAGATATGTAGATAAGGAAACAAATTCACAGATGTTGCTTTTATAGGGTCTTATGTTTAACAACTGTTAGGTTTAGGGCTTCACATGAGTGCCACCTGATTCTGAAGTTTTCTGTTATCGCACAATCTCAGTGAAGCTCATTATATTTTGGGAGATTTTCCTTTTCTTTTGAAATGTGAAATGATACTACAAACTACCTTTGTACTTATGGTATCAGGTGATTAC